AACATCAACAGAGAGAGAGAGTGGCTCACATCAGAGGAATTGCTGATGAGTTCTCGAAGGAAAATCTCCTTGTTGCTGTAGAAGGTGTTGATGATCAAACTCAGAAGCTGGTTGATCTCAGCCTGGAAGGCGAAGGTCTCTGCATCAGCCATCTGAACGTCCGCCATTGCGATGATAAAGCGAGAGAAAATTAAAGCTTGTTTTAAAGGGAAAGCAAAGCAGAAGAGTCTGAACGTAGAGATTGAGCGATTTCGATTCTGATTACTGATGAATTAGGCTGAGCAAATGAAGAGGCTTTTATAAAGAAGAGGAAGCGGTTGGTTACTGTGCTTCTGGATTCTTCTACCCTTCTCTCGACTTCTATAATCTCCCGCGTATGTTGGCCTACTGGGAACGACGTCGTATAAAGCGGAAGAGTTTGGCTAACGTGCTCGTATCGAGTCAGTTGAATTCGAGAAGTGAGTGTATCGAGAAGGTTCTCTCTTCATTTTGTTAAGTCGATTGCTCTCGAACGTTCTTCCCGGCTAAACCGTTTTCCTATGACGTCACCGAGGGCCCCACCGCGTGTAACAGCTGAACGGCCCAAAGCTAGCACATCAGCCCTCTGTTCTGTGTGGACCAAAACAGCGACGGCCCAGTAGCGGTATGATCATTGGAGATATGGCCCATAAAGTAAATTAATACTGGACATAAATAATAAGCATGAATTTTTTTTTTTTTTTCTGAGGAAGTGAAATTATAATCTCCTTTTCTTTTAGGAAGTGAAATTATATTTTTGTCTTAAGAAGTGAAATGATCCATATTTTATAATTTAAGACTTTAACATGAAAAATGTTGGAGAATAAATAAAAAGAAAAAAGAAGTGGCGGGGTTCCAAAGCGGCAGATAAATAATAGGTAACTCGTGGACCAACGGTCAACTCAACGGCACCAACCCCGGCGCATTTTAGCGCAAGAGTGCCGTTTCCGTCCCGCAAAATCACTCAGCAGCACAGCTTGCGCTCTAAAAACCCTAATTGATCCATGATCGGGCCTCGGTTTCATGGCCACCGGATCGCATAGGAGGAAGCTAAATAAGCGATCGGATCCCAGGCCTTACACTCCCATGGCTGCTCGGCCCAAGTCCTCAAACTACAGAAAAACCTCTCTGATCCTCTCCGTCGTTCTCATTGTTGGCGTTTTTATTCTTCTGGGCATTTCTTCGAGCATTTGGAGTAACGTCAGTTTCTCTGCCGTTTCCGCCAGCATTTTCTCAATCGAGGTAGTCAATGAGTTCCCTCACGATCCCAACGCCTTCACCCAGGTAATCCTAGTTGTTAAATTTTCAGAGGTGTGCTTGTAAAATTACTTTGAAATTTACATTTACGAATTGTGGGCTGTTTGTTTTCAGGGGCTTCTTTATGCTGGAAATGATATCTTATTCGAGTCCACTGGTCTTTATGGGAAGGTGAGTTTGCCTCAGTAAAACATTTGTATCAGTAAAAAAAAAAAACCAAAGATCTACATGATTTCTTGCATTGACACCTGGCTTGAATTTTGTTTCTGAGATTCATCTCTTCTTTCCATTGTTTCAGTCATCAGTGCGCAAGGTAGCTCTTCAAACAGGGAAGGTAAAGGTTTTTTAATTTCCTTGTTCAGTCATGTTAACTGATCCTCTTGATTCATAGTTAATTGGTTAGCAAGTTGAATTGTTACTTGTACAATTGTACATAGGCCATAGTGACAAATGTTCAATTATATTGGGTGCTTGGTTGGGACATTGCCAAAGTTTAGATTGTTTATGTCTAAATCCAATATTGGTTTTGGTACCTGCAGGTTGAAGTTCTTCAGAAGATGGATGCTTCTTATTTTGGAGAGGGATTAACTCTCCTTGGTGAAAGGTCTGAAAAGAAAATCATGTTGAATTGTGTTTTGTCATTGATTCAGTTAATAAATAAACGCAAGCTGACATTGAGTAGCAATTTTCTTTGATTTTTCATTCTATATTTATGATATGATGACATCTAAAAGCGTCCCAAATTGCTAATCTAGCCATTTATATGTTCTTTTGTAGGCTATTCCAAGTAACTTGGTTGACGAAATATGGTTTCATATATGACCGAAAAAATTTAAGCAAAGTTTGTGCTTTTCCTTTATTCCTTTCAAAATATGTTTATCGTTATATCATATTTATTATTCTTTTTATCAAGCTGATTTACAAGGAAATGAATAAAAAACGGAAGACAGTTTAAATAGTGTCATCATATGACTCTGCTTCTGTAGTCTTTGAGTTTTAGGTTCAGTGCTTAGATATTTAATTTTTCTGATGTTAAAATTGACCAACTTAAATCAATTCTATTAAGTTTGACCTTAAACTGAGAATTGAAACTCCTGTGAAATGTGGTTCCTGATCCATAATAACTTGCTTTACTTTTTGCACAATACAGTTTGAGAAGTTCACTCATAAGATGCATGATGGTTGGGGACTGGCTACTGATGGGAAAGTGTTATTTGGAAGTGATGGCTCGTCAGTGTTGTACAAGATTGACCCTCAAACGTTGAAAGGTTTCTTTTGTATATAACATCAATCCATTTTTTTCTTTTACTCTGTGTTCATTTGCTTGTTTTATTTTTTTTCTGTATAACTGTTGTATTTTTGTTTTATGCTTTACCTATATCTGATGACCTGTTTATCTCCTCCAAAGTAGTGATAGTTCAATTTGCTTGATAATTCTGTTTTTTTATTTATTATAATAGTTATGTCATATTTCATGCAGTGACTGACAAACGTATTGTCAAATACAAAGATCATGAAGTGCACAACCTCAATGAGTTGGAGTTTGTAAAAGGCGAAGTTTGGGCAAACGTTTATCAGGTCAGCTTTTCATCGTCAAATGATTTATGGTTGTTTCGTTTGTAATTTACTTTTAAAATATTATAATATATATATAGAGAGAGAGTTCTGTTTTTCTGGGGATGTTAATAGGAGCATTGGCATATGACATGACTTCCTTATGGAATAATATGGGCTACATGTGGACAACAGAAAATATCAGTTATGATGTGCAGATGGAAAAATATACGTGTCTTGAAATGCCTTATGTTGCCTTGTGTAGACTGACTGCATTGCTAGAATCTCGCATGAAGATGGCAGGGTGCTTGGATGGATTCTCCTTCCAAATTTAAGGTTTTCCTGTTCATTCCTTTTCCTTTATCTAATTATTAACTTTTCAGTCTCTTTAGTCTAAGTACAAGGAGTATCATGTTCTGTTGTCTTTCTTGGGAGGCCCTTTTTTGGGGTTCATTTCATGGGTGTTTCATTTAATGGCTTTTATATTATTTCTGCCTTACAGGGAAGGCTTACTAGCATCTGGGAATCATGTAAGCCCTTGAACCAAAGACGATATCTTACTTATGTTTTCACTGCTTTTTCTAGTGCCAATTGCTATACAATGTATGATCTGTATGAGTTCCTTGAAACGCTAGGCAGTATGAAAATTCTTGAAGACACTTTGCATATGCACAGTTTCATTCTTCTTGAAATTATACATGTCAAACTAATAATTTACTTATTATTAATTTTAATATCTTAAACAGGGTATTGATGTTCTAAACGGCATTGCATGGGATAGTGACAAAAAACGTATCTTTGGTAAGCTCCAACAGTTGGCTTTCTATGAATTCATGTCATTTTGATTGTGCTCTACCCAGTGCTCATGAAAAATTGATGGAATCCCTGAAATGATTACCAACATTAGGAAGAATGGTTATCCTCTTTTGGTATAGAATTGATTGAAATAATTCACGAACTGGGTTATGGATTGAACTCAATGTGCATCGAATTGCAATTATTGGGAGCGTCTAGGAATTGTGTTTCTGTCTAGGTGCTTCATCTGATGATATGTGTCGTGTTTCTTGGGGTTGTGGTATTCTCTTTTTCTCTATGTACTAACCTATATGTTTTGGCAGTGACCGGAAAACTTTGGCCGAAGCTTTATGAGATCAAGCTACATCCAATAAAGAAACATTTCAGAGATGGAGCCATTGAGGAGCTCTGCCTGCGGAGGCCATTCCATTTTTGAAGCCATAAAGAGAGCCAGCTCCATTGTAAGGCTGGGCAGGGTAGGGCAGGGCATACGTCCAATGGGATTTTTGATTTTGCATTGTGATATACAATATTTTGCAATTTCAGCCCACACAAAGGACCAGAAATCAGTTGGAGAACTGCCTTGTAAGTTGTAAGATTCTGGAAAGAAGCGTTTAATTGGCAGAGTTATTGGAATTCTAATTCCCAGTGACGTATAGTTCAGCTCTCTCTTTCTGTTTGTTGTGCTTTGCTTGTGAGGATGTTGATTGGGAGATTGACAATTATACCCAATATAGGAGCCCAAATTCTAAAAATACTATATATGAAATGGACTTTAGAAACACACCCAAAGTCCATTTATAACATAACAAAAAGGCTTTTAACTTCTTTTAAATTACAAAACTGCCATTGATTTCTTAAAACAAAACCTCATAAAAAAGTCCAAAACACTCAATAGGGCATCAAAGTAATTTAATAATCAAAATTAAATTCAATAGGGCCAGCTGTCATTTTTTGGGTTTTTTTTGGGTTTGTTTATAGAAATTAAATGGTGTAGGGTTTATTTATAGTTTTAGTGCTAAGAATGGGTATATGACTAAATATCTCAACAAGAAAAAAACGCATGTCATTTTATTAGGTGGGCTGGTGGACAAGTATCAATTGGAGAGTCCGAGTAGAAAATTCAAAAAAAAAAAAAAAAAGAGTGGCGATTTACCAGATAAACAAAGAAACGGCAATTTTTGAAGTGGCAGGAACCTGTTGGTTGATTTTCCCGCTACTTCCGCTGATTAGTTGGTACTAAAGATTTGAAATTTACCCAAGTGATATGGATTAACCCAACTTCCTGTGTGTAGCTCTTTCTGCTCAAAGACCCCATCACTCATGCCACTGCTATTTGCTAAGCTCCCTCTCTCTCCCTTTCTCTCTCTGAGAACATGTCCTCTAGTGCATTGTCTCTCAAGAAAAAGCTCTTGAAGCCAACCTCATTTTTTGGTGTCAAGTTATGGGTTTTGCTTGTAATCTTCATTGTTCTATTCACAGTTCTCACTCTTATAGTCTTCCTGCTCTGTGTCATCCATTACCGTCGTCAAAAATCCTACAAATCCCGTTTTTGCTTCCAAAATCCCATAGCTTCCAAAAATCCAAACAATGCATATTGTAGTTCATCCCTTGATCGGAGGCTGCTTTCGCTTAACCTTTCGGAAATTGGGATGAACAGCGGGAAGCTGCGGCAACATCATGGACAGCTGTTTTCAGATCAGTTGTCCTCTACTCAGCAGGCTAGTGGGAGAATCCAAAATAGTTATGTGACTGACTTGGAATCGGTTTCTAGGTACTCACCAATGGTGAAGGATGTGTGGAGGGGCAACAAGTTCAGTCTGGGGGAGCTTGAGGTAGCAACAAACAGGTTTTCGAAAGAGAATCTGATTGGCAATGGAGATTATGGAATTGTTTATCATGGCATTCTGTTTGATAATACTCGCGTGGCAGTGAAGAGGCTTGTGAGTGACAGGTACCCATTAATGAGTTAATATATAGCACCATGCCATGGCCAAGAGTGAAGAATAATATATTAGATATGATTGGAAATGATAAAATACTAAAAGAAATTTAAATTCAGAAACCCCATTGTGGTTTTCATTTTCATTTCTCTCATCGATCTCAAATAGATGAACACCAAAGTAGCTAATGCTAGGTTGCCAGAATTCATATGTTTGTGCAAGTCTTACTGGGGGGTTTCAGTTTTTGCTAAATCAAGCTTGTGTGTGATATCTTATCAACAGTTTTCAAGTCGAGGACTTCACAGCAGAAATGGAGGCAATCGGGTTTGTGAGACACAAAAATCTTGTCAAGTTGCTTGGATACCATATTGAAAGAGCATACAGGTATGAGAATTTTTCCACACTGACAAGTTTAGATGTTCAAAAGGCAGCTAATGATCTTATTTTCCTTATTTTAGATTGCTTGTGAATGAGTATGTAGATAACAAAAATCTGCAGCATTGGCTTCATGAATGCTCCACACAAGTCAGCCCTCTAACATGGAGCATTCGGGTGAAAATAATCCAAGGAATAGCAAAAGGGTAAGATCCGACATATCTAAATTATATTCCATTAGACGAATTTGTGGTCGTATAATTTGAAGTGAGTGTGGTTCTGCAGATTGGCCTACCTTCATGAGGATATTGAACCAAAAGTCCTACATAGAACACTAACATCTAGCAATGTACTGCTTGATCACCAGTGGGATCCTAAGATCTCAGATTTTGGCCTTGCTAAGCTCTACAATCCTGAGTGGGGGATCACTATACTGGAATCACTAGGGTCAGTTTCTTTCCTTGTGGAAAACTATATATGCCTGCTCATTTTCACCATTGGAACATATTACTTGTGAATTCTTGATGATTTCCTTCTCATTCTAAAATTGCATGAAACTCCAGTTACATTGATCCAGAATATGCTGCCACTGGTGATTTCACACAGGGGTCCGATGTTTATAGCTTTGGGGTACTTATCATGGAGACCATATCTGGGAGGAACCCTATAGATCGCAGTCAACCGCAAGTATGAATTCCTAATTTCAAAACTTTAAGGTGTTTTTGTTGTTCAACCTTTGATATCCGAACAATGACTCCTGAATTGCAGCCATATCTAGTTGACTGGTTAAAGTCCATGGTTGCCAGTCAAAAAATTGCTTGTGTGGTGGATCCTAAGTTGCCAGAGAAGCCCTCTTCAAAGGAACTCAAAAGGGTACTTTTGGTTGCTCTTCGCTGCGTTGATCCCGATTTAGAACATAGGCCTAGAATGGGAGAAGTTATTCACATGCTTGAGCCGCGTGACTTGCTACTCTGTGATGTAAGAACAAGTATTTTTCCCCTTTTTTTCTCCTTAATTCTCTCATATGTTTCATTTTCTGAATGACTTGTATGCATATCATTGTCCCTACAATGAAGGATCAATGGCTTAAGAAAGAAACTTATTAGCCAAGAGTAAAGCTTCTGCAAGAATAGCCGCCCTACAAACACATGAAAGGATAAAGCTGCAGCAAAACTGGTACCAGAAAATTGTATTGAAGTTCAACGAATGGTTCATTAGGTTGAGCCCTAAGGTATTTGTCAATCAGGAATAATTCATCTTAGAAATCTTCATAACAGAAGCTTTCCCTGTAAATTCATTAATGCAGTTGAGATTGTTACGGAGGTCATCCATTCTTTCAGATTTTCATTATCAATGGATTATTTGCTGAACAAATGGATAGTCTATAGAAAAAAGAAGGAAATCTTGAAAAACTACTTTAATTTTATTGTCATTCAGACTCCTAATATTTGAAACATAGGATGCTACCTCATTTGAGCATCAAAATTCCCATATAATACATGACTCTCAGAAGAAAGGGAGACTGGCAGAACATGTCACCAACTTAACATCTTCAATCGCCAACCTATCTTCCGGGAAAGGACAATCGACGACTTCTTTCTTCTGCGGCAACAAATCGCATGCCTTTGGAGTCACATTGCTTGTAACTCCCGCAATATCAGTACAGTTCCATTGTAATTTCTTGGGCTTCTCAGTCAATGCGATAGTCACATTAGAAATGCAAATTCCCTTGAAATGATCATTAGGAATTCCCTCCAGCCTTGCAGAGTAAGTAACATTCTCAGCCTCAACCTGTTTGTAGTTGATGTTCTCGATCAAAGGCAATGCCTTAGGATCAAAGCCAGGGTCTGGGTGAGACCCATAAGAGCCAGTCATCCAGAAAACGTACTTCATAGTCTTGAGGGTCATTCTTCTCACAAATATGTCTTTGACATAACCTCCTCTTCCTTGGGCAGTTTTGATCCTTACACTGGATTGAGTGCTAAGGGCTGTGATGTCCTCAGCTCGAACGTCGTGAATTCCACCGGACATCTCACTGCCTAGAGCAATGGTAGCACTGTCAGGTGAAATGCACGTAAGTCTTCTGATCACAAGGTGCTCCGTTGGGATCCCGACTTTGATCCCGTATTGGTCCCATCCACTCTTTACTGCAATGCAGTCATCCCCAGAGACTATGAAGCAGTCTTCAATTCTAGTTTGTGAGCATGAATCTGAAAATGGAGCAAAAATAGGTACATATTAACTATGTTCAAATATAACCAAGGAGACATAACAAAGTGGAAGCAAATTAACCAACCTGGGTCTATGCCATCTGTGTTAGGAGAGTTAATTGGTGCAAGGATAGTGAGCCCTTGTATTGTTATATTGCTGCAAATTAAAACCAGAATATATACATATCAGATCAGTATTCTGGCTAGTGCTTTTAAAAAAAAAAACACTTATAAACCAATGTGCTTCTTATAAAAGCTTTCTCAAACGAGCCCTAACTAGGGTAGAAAAATGATCAAACATACCTGCTGTATATGGGATGGACAAACCAGGAAGGAGAATTGACCAAAGTAAGATTTGATATTTGGATTTGATTAGAGTACATGATCTCAATCATGTAAGGTCGGGTTTCATTCAATTGACCTGCTTTGAACTTTTTCCACCAAGAAGCACCTTGCCCATCGATGGTGCCATTGTTACCTAAACAATAGTGGTACAATACCAATTTAGTCATTAACATAATTGACCCAAAATCACAGTAAAATTAAAATAATTAAATCTGATTTGAGATTAATTACCAGTAATTACGACATCGGTGAGGTTTGTTCCAAAAATGAGACTGCTAAACCTTCCACCAGGGGCATCTCTGCCTCTCCCATATGAAGGCAAGACTGAAACAAGAGGCCACTCTGACTCATCCTGAAAATTTGGTCATTCAAAATGTTCAATAATTTAATGGTAAAGGTGGTGAAAAATATTTGGCTAATAGGAGCAAAAGTTTTTCACAAAAAGTGAAAAAGAGAAATTAAAGTTAACGACTTGACTTCCTGCGTGCATACAAAACATAGTAAGAAAGTACTGCTTTTCCTATGTTTGTAGATTACTAGGTCGGGGATGTTTGTCTAGCTAATTCTATGGTAGAAGAATGGTAATTACAATCAATTAAGCCTAAAATATTCAAGAAATTAAGGAAATATGTCGACCAAAAAGGGCAAGAGAATTAAACCTGAGTTGCAAGAATAACAGCATCCTTGTGGAGGAAAAGGGTGAAATGGCTGGTGAGGTTGAAGCTCCCGGTGAGCCACTTCCCTGCTGGCACGATAAGCTGTGCTCCGCCGTCGGATGCACTCTGGCTTAGATGATGAATGGCCGCCTTGAAGGCCTTTGTGTTGGATGTTTTGCCATCGCCAACGGCTCCAAAATCAGTCAAAAGAGCACTGTGCTTTCGACAGCTAAGGGCAGAGTACTTGACCGTGCCCCCATTCGCCGGTGTTCTACATTCTGCGGCTCTTAGGAAAAACAATCCCAGTATAAAAAAGATTGCTCCAGAAACCTGTGATTAGAGAATAACAACAACAAAAAAGAACACATACTGTTATTATCCATGTCATATTCATGAGAAAAACCCAGAGATTTATTATATATAGAGGAAACCATGCGTTGTAAAAAATTATATGAGACACATCAAAAACCCCCAAGCATCTATTGTCATGATCATATTCAACCCAGAAAACAAAAAACCAAGCCAACAAAAATAAGAAAATTGAATGTAATTTGTTAGACAAAATAACAGTGAGATCATATAATACGGTGGAAAAGAAACGTACATTGGACATCTTGGATTTTCCGTCCATGGTCTGGAAGTGAAGGAATTGTTGTACAAAACTGTAATTAACCTGACCTTTTGAAACTTATGCGTTATGTCAGACAATAAGAATACGGGGTAATTTTCTGTATGTTATTCTTCTCCGACATGGAGGAATATATAAGGATGTAGAAAATCATGAGTTACAATAGGAAATAAATCCTAAACACAATAGGATTAAAATAAAAGGAATATACAACTCATGTCAACACATAATCCCAAACCAAACAGTAAATACCTAAATTTAAGTAAAGTAAAATCAGACTTGCAAGGAAAGTGTATATAGGCTGCATCTACTACATGTGGATTATGTTTCAAATCAATAATCAACGTATATGGGTCTTTGTTGCATTTGTTGGCTTGTCTCTTCATCTTTCTTTGGGAGATGATGAGACATATTGAGAACTGTTACCTCACCTAAACCTAATTCCCTCACCTAAAAACCTAATTCCCTCACCATTTGCATTGCCTGTTGAATAACAGAAAGTTTTTGCTTTTGGCATTACCCCGCGTGTCTTATCCATGTCATGTCTAAAGAAACCATTTTTCTCTGTTTGGAAAATAAAGCGATAATATTAATACACACGAGCACTATTGCATAAAAGTTTTTAATAATTAAGATAATTACACATTTACTTATCATGAATAGGAGAAGACATGAGTCGGAGAACTTAGATCAAGAAATTGGAATTGGATAAACTACTTCCTTGGTCAACTTGATTTTATGACATATTTACTTATCATGAAAGGGTATTGGATTGATTCCAATTCCTGCTTATCATGTGTTTACTAATACATGGGTATTGAAATAATTCCAATTTCTAACTTCCCCACGTTTACTAACACATAAGAAATAAAAAAATTATACGGGTTCCACCTTAAAATCCGTAATCGAATACCCTCAAATTTGGAAATATAATCAATTAGGGGGGAGTAGTTGATTTGTATGAAAATTCTTGAAGACACTTTGCATATGCACAATTTCATTCCTCTTGAAATCATACATCTCAAACTAAAAATTTACTTATTATCAATTTTAATGTCTTAAACAGTATTGATGTTCTAAACGGCATTGCATCGGATACTGACAAAAAACGTATCTTTGGTAAGCTCCAACAGTTGGCTTTCTATGAAATCATATAATTTTGATTGTGCTCTACCCAGTGCTCATGAAAAATTGATGGAAACCCTGAAATGATTACCAGCATTAGAAGAATGGTTATCCTCTTTTGGTTTAGAATTGATTGAAATAATTCACGAACTGGGTTATGAATCGAACTCAATGTGCATCCAATTGTAAGAATTGGGAGCGTCTAAGAATTGTGTTTCTGTCTAGGTGCTTCATCTAATGATATGTGTAATGTTTTTTGGGGTTGTGGTATTCTCTTGTTCTATATGTATTAACCCATATGTTTTGGCAGTGACCGGAAAACTATGGCCGAAGCTTTATGAGATCAAGCTACATCCAAATAAAGAAACAGTTCAGAGATGGTGCCATTGAGCAGCTCTGCCTGCGGAGGCCATTCCATTTTTTAAGCCATAAAAAGAGCCAGCTCCATTGTAAGGCTGGGCAGGGTAGGGTAGGGCAGGGCAGGGCAGGGCAGGGCATACGTCCAGTGGGATTTTTTATTTTGCATTGTGATATACATTAGTTTGCAAATGGATAGTCTACAGAAAAAAGAAGGAAATCTTGGAAAACTACTTTAATTTTATTGTCATTCAGACTCCAATCTATTTGAAACATATATAGGATGCTGTCTTTCATTTGAGCATCAAAATTATCATATAATACATGACTTTCAGAAGAAGGGGAGACTGGCAGAACATGTCACTAACTTAACATCTTCAATCGCCAACCTATCTTCCGGGAAAGGACAATCGACGACTTCTTTACTCTCCGGCAACAAATCGCATGCCTTTGGAGTCACATTGCTTGTAACTCCCGCAATATCGGTACAATTCCATTGTAATTTCTTGGGCTTCTCAGTCAATGTGACTTTCTGTCTAGGTGCTTCATCTAATGATATGTGTAATGTTTTTTGGGGTTGTGGTATTCTCTTGTTCTATATGTATTAACCCATATGTTTTGGCAGTGACCGGAAAACTATGGCCGAAGCTTTATGAGATCAAGCTACATCCAAATAAAGAAACAGTTCAGAGATGGTGCCATTGAGCAGCTCTGCCTGCGGAGGCCATTCCATTTTTTAAGCCATAAAAAGAGCCAGCTCCATTGTAAGGCTGGGCAGGGTAGGGTAGGGTAGGGCAGGGCAGGGCAGGGCATACGTCCAGTGGGATTTTTTATTTTGCATTGTGATATACATTAGTTTGCAAATGGATAGTCTACAGAAAAAAGAAGGA